ATGGGTTTTATAGAATTGGAAATTTGTGTATTAAATGGAAGTTTTAATTGCTATAGTCATTGTTGTTTTATTTATTTAATACACTGATAACATTTTAAAACAAAAGAGAAAAATGTGTGCAAAATGATCCCTTTTATTTTTCTAAAATGAACTATAAGCTTTATACATCCAGAGTTATGTTTGACTACATGTTCTAAATGAAATTCCTATAGAAAAGTAAGGATTTAACATTCCATCAATGATCAAACAAATAAGAAATCCACACCTAAATGCAGCTAAAGTAAACAAAGGCCTTGGAGTTACAGCTAAATTGACAAAACTAAAGATAAGATTTCTCCTTTCCTGGTTATTGATAAAAGCATAGATAAACTGCGGTAAAAAAAAAAAAGTCCTAAAGCAAGCCCAAGTAATTCCCCCGAGTAATATTAAGTAGGATGTGAAATATTAAGTAATATTAAGTAGGAAGACAAAAATAACAAAATAAATTGAGCCAGTATGTCTAAGAGTTACAAAGATGTATGACAAATATAGTCACTTGCAATAACTGTGTATATTGCTTCTTTCAAAAATAAAATAAAAGAAATGTTTCTGTGAAATATAAAAGGAAAGATAATTTAGAATAACAAAGCTACACACTTCTCAAATGATAATTAAAATACAGTGATGAAAGAATTCATAAGATTGAAACTATAACCAAATAAGTTGTTTCACATACTTGAAAAGCAATGGGGACATAATGAGAAAGTATAAAAGCTATCTTATAAGAAGATTATAGGAAGAAATATAATCAAAGAGATGCACTATTCACATGTAAAATGAAGGGGCTGGGGATACAACTGGGTGGTACAACACCTGTCTGGCAAGCACAAGGTCCTGAATTCAATTCCTGGTACAAAAAAAAAAAAAAAAAACCTGGCAAGCACAAGGTCCTGAATTCAATTCCTGGTACAAAAAAAAAAAAAAAAAACTTAAAATGAGGACATATTTTTCAGAAAATAACAAGGAATCTGAATCATATACAGAAAGATTTTGTTAAAAGCTGTAAAGAATAAATGCAAAGAGAATAATTTAAGAAGAGCACCAGTCAGATAAGAGCAATTAGATGGATATAAATCTAATAAGTAGTTAGGTAGGTAGATAAATAGACAGACTCATAGGTACAGTAGACACATGATAGTGTAGACTACTAGATAAGTATGAAATATGCAATGTAATCTTTAGTAAAAAATCATTGCAATATAACATTGCAAACCTAAGAAAAAGGGATGGTGGTGAAAAATAGACATTCACAGATATGTGTGGTATGGATTATTCCCCACAGATCTGTATCAAAAGCTTTTATAAAATGTGATATGAAAAGAAGGAAAATCTAGAGTTAAAATTTTATTTACAAAACGTATTGGAGTAAATGTACTTTGTCTACACACATATATACCTGTTATATTATTGTTGCAAATAAAAAAGCAATAAAAGATGACAATAGCTTTCTTTAACGGAAGGGATCTTTTCTAAGTTTTTCTATTGTTATGTTTGTTATTAATGAAATATCCTCCCATGGATATGTCTTAATTATGTAATACAAGTAATGGTCATTCATATATGAAAAGTGAAAATTATAAAGCTATGATAAAGGAAGGCCTCAAAGAAGTAGAGGGACTGTTAGGGGACAGGGAGGGAATGAGGGGAGTGAGAAGAGAGAAGAAGACAAGAAACGGTCAAAGACATAGTACACGATCAAAGCACGACATAAGCAGGTATGGAAATGTCACGGTGAAATTCACTAACTTTTACATATAATATGCATTAATAATTATGATCAAATGATTATTCAAAAGCCAAGATAAAGTATTTATATTTAAGTAAATATTTTATAAACTAATTTAGACTTTTGATTAATCTTGATGATGGATGTTACAAAGGAAAACTTAAACATTTTCCTCCTTTTTCCATTTCATGAGGGTGAGCTACTTTTTCTACATGCACACACATGCAAGCACGCCCCCACACATGTCAGAAATGTAGATACTTAAAGTCTCTCAAGGGCTAGACAGGCTATGGTTACTAAAGGAAAGCACGTTTCAATTATATGATAACATTCAGGGTTTGTTTTTATTCTTTTTCTTTTGCAATTTGTAATAAGAAAAATTGAACAATCATTGTATGTCACACATGTCAAATGGTTGTTGTGATCGTCTGTGTCTAAATTTTGTGGAGATAAGAGTAAAACTCAAGAGTTTCATGCATGCTAGGTAATTATTCTTTTGCTGAGCTAACCCGACCCTGGCTTGATCCAAAGTTTTATATCTTAACTATAATATTCTAAACATATCTTTTGCTTTTGGAATGTAGGGGGCAAGTAGGATTTACTGTATGTCTCAACCCCTAGAATTTATGGACAGTTTTTCCTACCTGTACTTTATTTATTGATAACTTGAAACTTTCAGAAGATTATAAATAATTCAAGTTCTCAATGTTATTATTTTAAAAACTTTATTTAAATAATAATTTCAGGGGCTGGGGAAATAGCTCAGTGGCATAAGCGCCTGCCTGGCAAGCACAAGGTCATGAGTTCAATCCCCGACACCACAAAAAAAAAAAAAAACAACCAAAAAAATAATAAATAATAATTTCACATTACAAAAGGGCTGTAATGACAGCTTTTATTTCCTAGAGACTTTGCCTCTTGCTTCATGAGGAACAGGGAGCGTTTACCAAAGCTAAGGCGACAATGGTGAGTACTCACAAAAGTAGTATTCATTGGAATTTCAGAAGCCTTGACACTATCACACCTTCTTCTCCCTCATTCGGGGTCCAGTCCAGAATACTACGATGCTTTCAGTCTGTGGCAATGACCCCATCTTTTCATATTTTCCTGAAAATGTGTTATCTTTTAATGAAGGTATGGGCTAATTTATCTGAGCCACTCATGGTGCTGAATCCAGACTGCTATGGAGATATATTCAGGACTGTTTTTCTCGATCAGACAATGATGTACTGTCACTTATTTTCATGTTTAGAAGCCAGACAGATTGAGCAATAAATGGTTTCTCATATTGGCAGTAGGGTAACTGCTCTTCCTTTATTAGATTGAGGTTTAGTTGTCCCTATAATTTTCTTAAAAGTTTTTTAATATCCATATTTTCACATTACCTCAAATATGTCTGTATATATACATATGCTTATATATTACTTTAGAAAGATATATCTATATCTATCTACATATATGTTTATATTTCTATCTATCTATCTTTTTATCTATCTATGGCTTTGGTGGTAACAGAGGACAGAAGTAGAAATCAATGATCAAAAAAGACTGAGTGATATTCAAAGGAGTGGAATCCCAAAACAAAACAAATCAAAATAAATCAATGAAGCAGAAAATATAAATTGACTATAATCAAAGTTACTTTAAAAATAAAGAGAGATTTACACATGGAAATTGTTCACTGAATACTTGAGAATAGTAACCAAGAATAATGATCTCTAAACTTAAATCTTCAGTTCCTCCTTCAAAAATTTCAAGTAACTTACAATATCTTTTGAAAATGTATTTTAATTCAATAATTATCCTAACTTCTTGGTTTATTTGTGCTTTCTCTTGCCATTTTAAGAAATTCAAACTAACTTGTAGTTTATTAAATTTGCTATTTCCTTCGAGGTATAGGAATATGACTTAGTAGGTAGGTTTTCTGTTTAATGCCTCATTTATTCCTATTTATGTCTTTATTTCTGATGCCCATGGCTCAGGCGTTCATCTGTATGTAAGTACATGCATGTGCATGTGTGTGGCTTGTCTGTTATTCTTTTTCCTTGATAGCTGAGATAGAAATTCCTTCTAGTATTCTTGAAATCACATAGCTGTGTGTTGGTAGACTATTTTTGATATTTGTTTTTTATGTATGGATTCTTATTTGAAATCATTTAATAATTAAATTTTTCCAAAAATTCTAAAATTTTAGTTTGTATTTCTGATTACATGTAAGTTTTTCTTTGCAGAATTTGTAATAAATTCTTAGGGGAAAGGTCTTCATCATAAATCTCAGGATGGCTGGAGTTTTATTTATCTACCCATTGAATGTGACTGTGAACTGCTTATTGTTCAGGGACTCTGTAGATGTGGTGGAAACCAGACTGAAGAGCAGTCTATGATAAACTCCCATATTGGTCTTTGCCTTTCAGTAGATCACATCCCAAGACTGTGTGAACTTGACCATGGATTCTCCCCCACACTCTCCATTCCTTTTTCTGGCTGCAGCATTCACAATATTTCTTTGAGGCCCTGCAATTTAGCAGTACACTTTTAAATTCCTCTTAATGAAATAGAAAAGCTTGAAAGAGGGGAAATAGGAGCATCACACTTCCTCAATTGTGACAAGGCTCTAGCGAAGTATTTTCTCTTTAATATTTGATGTTCGTTTATGAGAAGGCTCTGGTATGTTTCTCAGCAGCTACTCTGTCCCCACTCCCTGACACAGCCATAGAGAATACATCTCAGATTTTCAGTGTGAGAACTGCTTTGGTTCTTGAAGATAATCCATGGAAGTATGTATGCTCCTGCCAAGGGGTGCTGTCCATGGCTATGGGTCCCAGCATCCATCTCTGTTACTTTAGTCTATACTGAATTTTCTGCAATAATGAATGTACATATTCATGGGTCCAATTTGCTCCATGTAAGGAGATCATCACTCTACAAGCCTACTTTTCCAAAATTCAGAGGATGGTTTGCCTGAACTCTAACCTTATCTGATGGTTCTAAACAAAGTCAGTGATTTCTTCCACTTTCTTAAAAACTCCAAGCTCATTTCCCCCATTTTTCAAACTTTTCCCTTCCTTATTTCTTTAAATTTGTTGATCCCTCCATTATATCAGGGGTCTTAAAAACAAGTCATTATTCCTATATAAAATACTTTTAGTTAAGGTTATTCTTTACACTTTAGAATATATTTTGATCTTTGGAAATATTTACACATACTTACTGGTAATTATACATACATACTTACTGTTTACTATTTGTGCTTTAAAGGGAGTTAGTCCTGGATCAGGGAAATAGATCAGTGGCATAAGTGCCTGCCTGGCAAATGCAAGATCCTGAGTTCAACTCCTGGTACCAAAAAAAAAAAAAAAAAAAAGGGAATTAGTCCAACACTGCAATAAAGCACTGTAGTCTACAAAATCTAAAATAAACAGTCAGAAATGCTGGCCAAATAAGCCAGAGTAAGAATATAAAAAATTAAGTTGAAAGTTTTAGCCAACAAACTTGAGTTTTGTCAAATACAACAGAACTTGTAGCATAAGAAGCTTCAGGATATGTGTAGGGAAATCTAGATTCATTCCTCCTCTGTATCTATCCACTTAGATTATACACTACTTACAAATTAGAACTGAAAAGTTTTAGTTCATTTTGCTGTTATTAAAAATTGTTCCATTAGAAAAGTATATTTTATGATTATAATATGAAACCTATGTCATTGCATATGTTTCTGTAATTTGAATAATATTAATTTATGAAGTTCAATTTCAAATGAGATACAATAACTTATTGAGAATACTACTTCAGACAAAATTAATAAACTAAGAGGGAACATTTAAGAAGTACAGAGATAATTCAGCATGTTAGGGCTGTCAATGTTTTATCATCCATCTAGTTTCTGTACTCACAGAAGTTTTTAAAAGATTAACTAGATCCAAATAAAATGATTACTTAATTTGACCATCTGAAAATTGCTTTCATTTTTTGGACAATTTTGTCAAAATTAGAAAAAACAACAAACTTGATTGCTATTTGTTAATGAACTTTCTTCAAAGTTGATATTAATTTTTTACAATATTATATAAATAAAATATTTTTGACTTGTCAAATCCCAATATTTATTTCATGAGAAACTGAGAGAGAATATGCAAGGATAGTGTCTTGGTTACTTTTCTCTCATTGCTAAGACAAAATACCTGACACCCAGAATTAAGGAAGGAAAGGTTTATTCAGCTTACAGTTTGTGGAGGTTTCAGTTCATACTTGGCTGGCTCCAAGGCAGAGTGGCACATGGCAGAAGGCAAACGCTCACGGCAGCAGAAAACAGCAAAGGCAACAAGAACAAAATGGGAGTGAGAACAAGCCTCTTTCCTTCCCTTGTATTGTAGGGAGGCTACCTCCACCCAGGGAACGTTTAGCACTCACATAATCTCCATGCCCTCCCCTGCCACAGGCTCAGGATGAATGCAAAGTAAGCACCCTGGCTTCCTTCTGAGTCACATAGTTAACCTTCCAAACTTCTCACACTGACGAAATGAAGAACATCCCAGAGGGTAAGGGCATGTCCTTTTCACCCCAAGATGCAGAAGTGCTGAGTCACTTAGCCAAACCACTAGACTCCCCAAGTTGACACATATATCAACCATAACATATAGCACATGGTCATCTTTGCACTTTCTAATACCTTCTTTCTTCATTCTTGGCTGATAGGTTGCACATCAAGTTTGAGTACACAGTCTTGTTGTTTCGATTGTAATTATTTATTTAAACATGGGTTTATGTATATTTCATTGTGTTCATTTTTCTGCCTTTAAAAGTAGATAAGAGGGGCTGGGGATTTAGCTCAGCGGCAAAGCGCATGCCTGGCAAGCGCAAGGTTGTGAGTTCGGTTCCCGGTACCGGAGAAAAACAAAAAAAAACCAAAAAACAAAAAAAAATAAATAAATAAAAGTAGATAAGATATATTTGAAGATGCAATTAAAACTGACTTCTCAATATAATAAAGGATGCTAATCCTTCTTCATAATGAAAGAAGTGCACATTATAACCATTTGAAATACAATTTTAACTATCTGCAAAACTCCAAAAATTTAATAAGATATTCCATAGTCACTGTTAAAATATGATGGGCTATTAATTCATTATTTTCATAGTGTGTAAATGAAAGGAAATCAGTATACATCTTGTTGTCCTTTTTCCTTTATTTTTAACCAAGTTCACTCAGTTGCAATGGAAAATACTCTGTATATATATAGATAGATAGATAGATAGATAGATAGATAGAAGAATTAAATGATTTCAAAAGCATGATGCTAAAGACATGTACAACCCCCAACAGATTACTTCACCCCTTCACATTCTCTCCATTCTGAAAGAAATGTCTATCAAGAATTTCAATTGCATACCTGTATTTCTACCATTATCAAATCTAGAAACAAAACCTTCTCCAACTTGGTTGGAAACTATTACCTGAAGCGCAGTTTTGGAGAAAGAAGCCTAGTACCATTGTATCTAAATCAGATGTCCTGACTTCCTGATACCTAACACACAACTCTGTATCTGAGACAGATGAAAGGCTTACACCAGCGCACTATGAATTGCAACCTTCTCAACACAGTAAAACAGACATTAGTTTCATATGTTAACAATGTATCGTGGATAGAGCTTTCTCAGAAAAGTCTAAGGAGGATTACTGAGTCAATATCAATGCGAAGAGGAAGGGAAGAATTTCGCAGGAAGAAAGAACTCAGCAGTCAGCAATCCACATGACAAAGCTTGTGCACTGACTTTGGCCTGGTGATTTCACTACTTCTCTGTCTCGGCTCTGTAATGGAGTAACATAGGCCCCAGCACTAGCTGACAAACAGGCAAACAAAATTAGACATTTCCAACCGCCCCAGCCAGTCTTTCCAAGCCCTGTTGTGCCTCAGCTAATGTAAAATATGCTTTGGTGTGATTTTGTAATAAAATAGTTACTCAGTGAAATGGCACAGATTCATCGGAATTAAATCTTTGAACAGATGGGATATTTTAGCTGCCCTCAACCCTGTTGCTTGAACAATTCATTTTCTAATTAGTGATGTGGTAAAAACATTCTTTTGAAAAGGATATGAGCTGAATACATTTTCAGGCTGTCATAAGAAAACCCATGAAACAAAAGAAACTCAGGAGGCAGGGTTTTTTTTTTTAACACTTACTTTCTTTCAGTGGACATTTTAAAAAGCCAAGAGTAATTTCCTACATTTCAGCATGTTGTTTACCCTTTGTAGTTTCATTGTGAGGGTAAACAATTGGCTAAACGCAAATTAAATAGAAGAAGCAGTCTTTTTAAAAATTTCCTTTGATAATCTGACCCTTTTATTTTCTCTTATCATCAAACACATCTTATTCCCTTTCTGTTGCCCTTGTGTGTGTTTTTTTAGCTAATGTTGAGTGTTTCTCTTCTATTTATCTTTTCTACCCTGTATTTTATAACTCAACTTGTGCAAAGAAATATAATAATAAAAGTAGAGATCTCTTTTCCTACTTAAATGGATGCATGATAAGATCTACAATTTTAATAACAAAGAAAGGTAACTTGTTAAGTATTGCATTTTGAGTATAAACCAACAAACATGTACTTTCCCAGCACAGACCTAAAAATGTTAATAATGTATGCTGGCTAAAGTGACTTGTCACAGCTTTTATGAAAGAGTTCTCCTCTGTTATTTAGGAAATATCAAGTTTAAAGGAGCTCTTTTTAGACTCCACACACTTGGACATAGACTGAATTAAAATAAGTGTTTCACGTTTTTGCGTATTGAAACTGATCATTGTATCCCATCTGTATGAGTCACTAGATTAGTTTCAGAATTCATTTCTATGCTTTTTCAAACATGCTGCTTTGCACGGTTGGGTCAGTTTTACCAACCAGAGCTAGTTAGGTCTTTATTGCCTTGTTGATATTTTTACAGCTTCTGCCCAACGCTCTTTAACTCTCAGTCATCCTTCGAGTTCTCCAAAGACATTCTTCTTTCAAATGCCCTTGTCTTGTGCAAGCTCCTCTGGTAGCTGAATACCCACAATTTCTCCTCTGAGATTTGGCTGAAACTCACTTGTTTGGAAGATTGTTACACATCTCTTGTCCCCACCATGGCCCCTACCAATTTCACCTTTGCCCTTTTGGTTCCTACAGTCCCTTGCTTTCTCTTAGAGAGTTTCCCTGTATCTTTGGTGTTTGTCCTTTCTCCTTTATCACAATGAATCTAGGGCTTGTCTAAGGGTCAGAAGGACAGAATGTTAAAGACTCAGAAGGACACAGTGCTTGGAATGTAGTAATATTCAATGTTCATTTATTGAGGAATATTCATGATGCTTAATTTTAATAATTGCTTACTAAGTGAATCAGTTAAACAAAATAAATCAGTTAAACAAAATATAGCCACTCACTGAACTACAGTTAAACAGCTCACTAACAAATATGATTCTTCAATAGACTATAATTTTTCTTTTTCTGTTCTTCCTTTTCTATTTTTCCATTTTCCTCCCTCCCTCCCCTTTTTCTCCCTCCCCCCTTTGTTTCTTCTTTCTTTTCTTTTTTTTTTTTTTTTTTTTTTTTGAGATGGTTTCACTCAAGCTGCCCTAGGATTCCTGGGCTCAACTGACCCTCCCACTTCAGCCTCTCAAGTAGCAGGGATCCCAGGCATGTCCTATCACGCCAGGGAGAGTTACAAGTTCTAAATGTCTTCATGCATTTGAATTAGAGTCCTCCACTGAACATTTCCTTGCAGTTGACGGGAAATCTCCAGTAGACGTCTCAGTAGTGTAATGCATCCTTCAGGGTTGTGTGATTATTTTATTATGAAACAAAAACTTTTAGCAATTTTAATAGCACTGTGAAATAATTTATTTTCCAATCATGTAAGTACACAATTTCCTTTGTTTTACTGCTTTCTATTGTGTTTAATTAATATTTAATCACTTTAAAAGTTTGTTCAGTGAATTCTACTAATCTTGACAGCTTTCACTATACAAGCTTGCTTCCTCTTCTAAGGAAGGTTTTAAGAACATTTGCCTGAAATGTTTATGGGCCCTAGAAATGCATAACTCTGGAAGAATATCTCCTGCAAAGTTCTGAAAAGCAAGTAACATACAAATTCACTAAAATTTTGTGCTGCAAGGGTGCTTGGAAAGCCCCTTACTGATATCACTGGGCTGAAGATTTTCAAATGGCGATGAGATGCAATGAGTTCTACTTTAAGAAAAAACACTCTCAAGTTTTTGGATACTGAAACATTGACATCTGCTAGAGTAAAAATAAAAAGACATTATTCCAGGAGTAACGTGATTTTACTTCCATTGGTAAAAACAGAATTCATAAAAAGATACATGTTTTCAAGTAAAAATGAATGCCACTTAGGGGCAATAAGTTTTAATGCCAATTAATTGCTCCTTTCTCTGTAGGAATCATGTAAAAACAGTCTGTTAAGGAAGACAAGAAGAAGGCAGGCCTGTCTCTCTAACCAGAGCAGAACATATGAAGTTGCATGATTTTTTAAATATCTACCTTAAAGTTTAATTATATATGAAGTGTTCTTGCCGTGGCGTGGCATTAAAAAACAAAAAAACAAAGAACAAAAACTTACCTAAAATGTATGAGTTTGTTCAATTTTAAACTTTTACCTGGAAATCAGTCTCTTCTATTTATAACTGTAGAAATGATTTCAGATTGCATAAATCTTGCATTCAAGAAATATTTAGAAAAAGCCAAGGATGAGTACAATTCCAAAAATCTTACTTTTGAGCATTTAAAGATGTTTTTTCTGATAGTTGAAAATAATGTTATTTCTCTGTAGTGGACAAATTCAGTGTTCAATCTTTTTTTTTTATTTTGATACTGGGAATCAAACTCAGGATCTTGTGCTTGCCAGGCAAGCCCTGTGCAGCTGAGCTACATCCCCAGCCCTCAGTGTGCAATATTTTAATCCATTTTGTAGGGTAACTTAAAACTAGGCTATCCCTGCAATCATTGTTTTCATGCTATAGATGAAGATATTGCTATGGCACTTTAGGTATTTCTAGAGGTCGTATGACTCAGAGACTGGTATAGCCCTGATTGAAAACAGAACTTTTAATGCTTCTAATATTCATCCACTTCTTTCTTTACTTCATCTCATTTTAAAAGACCAGTAGGAAAGTGCAGAACCAGGCATAGAAACACGGGCTCTACTTGGGAAGTGGGGCAACAGGGCTGCTTAGGGCCTCTCAGGAATTTCAGGCCAGCCTGGGCAACAGGCTGGGATGGTTCCATCTCAAAAAAATATCCTATATATCTCTATATCTCCAAAGCTCCATCACTTGATAGCTCTCTCTCTCTTTCTCTCTCTCTCCTACTCTACTTCTCTCTCTTTCTCTGTCTATCTATATGCAGATATATTTATGCTGATTTGAACATTACACATGTTTACATATATTAAACTATCACATAGTCATGGTACCCCATTTATGAATACAATTTTATGTGTTAATAAAAAGTCAACTAAAAACAAAATGAAGCTTAAAACAATTACAAAATGATATCTGTGTATTTTCCCAAGGTGAAGAGTATCAAAAGTAAAGTACTCACTGACTCTTGAAAAAAGTAGACCATACTGTGTGTACTTTTCTACAACATATATTTTTCTATTTCTACATTATTTTAAATTTTCTGTTGTAATCAAAATAAATTGTCCTCATTATCTTAAATATATCAGCATTCCATAGTATAGAATTATAATGATGGGACTTTATACTATTTTCTTCTTTTTAGATTTTTTTAAAACAAAGCCTCACCAATTGATAAATTTTATTGTAATTATTGCCCCCTTTTGCATTTCCTTTGCATTCCTCTATAAAATGATGAACCGTTGCAGTGAACTTACTTGCTTTATCTCCATAGGGGTTCATATTTCTAATACCTTTAGTTACCTGCTATTGACAAATATTAAAAAATTTGAAGTTGTTCCTAGTCTCCACTAGTAATTAAAAGAAACAAATGGAAAGATAATTCAGAAATAAAAGGTACGGAAGTAGATAACTGCTTTACCCTTCCATATTTTCATTTGTAAAATTATTGATGAATTGAGAGCTTAAATGAAAGGTATTTTTGACAACTTCAGAGCACAAGTGAAGAAGGAATATATGGCAATTTCTATTCATTCATAGTTTTTCTTTTTTTTTTTTCCCCGGTACCAGGAATCAAACTCACAACCTCGCGCTTGCCAGGCAGGCGCTGTGCCACTGAGCTAAATCCCCAACCCCCATAGTTTTTCTTAATACCTGGCTCACTTCATACTTACAGACACATTTAAAATAACAGTAAAGTGGGCTGGGGATAGAGCTCAGCGGAACAAGCACCTGCCTTGCAAGCGCAATGACCTCAGTTCAATTCCTGTGTAACAAAAAAAGAAAAGGAAATTATATATATATATATATATATATATATATATATATATATATAATATACTGTGTTTTCAAAAAGCCAGCAACATCTCCATAAGAAGCATAATTGAGAAAGACAGACACTACATTTTAAATATCTGAACCATTTGTAGACATTTTGTAGGAAGAAAATATTTATTTGAAATGCTTATCCAAAAGGCTCAGAAACAAAACCTTTCCTCATGTCGAAGAAAGTCTACTATACTTCTTAGATTTGTATTAAATTGTTGATTTCTGTAATTCATAGATACGCCATGCATGTGTATGCAATATTGAAATCTAAGCTGGCAGAACTTCAGAAATATGGTTGAAAGAACATATGTACTCTCCAATTTTATTTGTTTTTGAGACAAGTTTTGCTAAGTTTCTAAATTATCCAGGCTGGGCATGATCTTAAAACCCCCAAGAAAGCTGGGATTACAGCATTTGCCACCACACCTGGCTAATTGATGGACTTTTATTAGATTACCCTTTTTACGGTTAAATGTGTAAAATCTCATTTCAATCATAAATTTAAAAGTAACCGGCTTTTGTTACTGTTACACTACCCGACATACTTTTAGTCCAATACTAATTTCCTTACACCCTGTGTTATGAACTGCCTTATTGCATAGTTATTTGTGTATGAACAATTTAAATATTTTTAAAGTACTTAAAGGTAGAGACAGTATAATTTATCTATTTTTATTTCACAGTGCCTGGAACTACCTTGAATGAACGAGTTAATAGTTATCAACAGGTAGATTTACTCAGTGATTTAAAGCAGTGCAACTTAAAGCCTTGATCCCTCCTCCAGAATTGTTAAATGTTCTCTCTGAGACTTTTCTTTGATACAGGGGGACCCATGTCCCAGGATACAGATTTTAATAAGAACCTTGAGTAATTTGTTTTCAGAAATTCTCATATGTTTGTTTAGAGAAGTTATGAATATATTATGAATGATTTCCAAAGAGTGCCATTTTCATTTTTAGCACATCTTGACTTTCTCTGTCCCTAAATTCAAGCTACATTTAATACATTTTTCATAATTTAATAAAAATTTAATAAAACATAATTGTATTGAAGTATATATTACCTAAAATGTTGTAATATTTAAAATAAGAGCTAGTGTCTTGTGCTTACTGAGAATTATCACCTCATTCTTAACAAGGAAAACATATAATTACCTAGGTCTGCTTGTATTTTGAAATAAATATTCTGAGTATATGAAACATATATAATATGAAATACGTATGTATTATATTTTAAATTAACATGCTATATTTAATAATAAATGAAATTATCAAGCAAAAGTAAAATATATTATGTAGCTATAAAGTTCATTATAAATATATATAACTATTTCTAATTTATTTCTATCCAAGTCAAAATTGATTTCTCTGCTTTGAACATTTTTAGTCAAGCTAATACTTTCAAAACTTAAAATAACGTTGATATCTTGTTTTTTCTATTATAAATGTTGTAGAGTTAAAGGTAATCATTAACTTAATAATACTTGAGAAAACTACCTGAATTAAAATAGAAAAAATTTAAACAATCTGAGATCCGCACAAAATTTTATGTCTTCCCATTATTTCTACTTATTTGTGCATTCTTCAACTTATTTCAATGATATCTTACAATTTCTAGTGTACAGATCTTTCACTTTCAGGCTCAAAATTATTATTAAATAAATAATTTGAGACTTAAAATATATCAAATAATTAAATTTTACTTTACCTTTATACGTTCCAGCTGTATTACACTATAACTGAAAAATAAAATTGCACATATTTAAAATATATGTGATAATTTTATATACATATACAGTAAAATTATTACCATAACTGTCTGACTACCCTGTTTTGAACCTGTTTCATGTTTTTGTTTTTCTCTTTAAAATTACAAAAAGGAAGTGTGGAAATGGCTTCACGCATTGGTATCCACAAGCAATGCTTTCCCACCTCCTCAGACTTGCAATGGGTCCTTCTGGCAGGGTCCCTTTAGCTGCTCCAGTCGTACAAGCTCAGCTCTACAAGCCTGACAGAAAAGCAGATGTCCAGCTTGGGAAGGAAAAGAAAAAGAAAGAAGCTTTGTTGTAGGCTCTCCTAAAATTTGTAAGTATTTCTCTCCGGGATCACTTTTCATCCAGTAGGCACCAGCAACGCACTGCTCTCCTACAGGAAGAAAGCAAAGATTACAGGATAATAGGTCCCCTTTGATCACCTGATGCCAATTATCCGGGGCCCATGACCAATGCTCTGATATAATGGCAAAGAGTCTCATCCAAATATTGCTTTTGTCACTGCTTACTTACCACTCATAGACAGCGCTGATGCTGTGAATTAAGCAATGTCTGCCTCCAGGTAAATTTAACAACATAGTGCAGCACCAACCTCCACACGCCATGTGCCACTTGATTTGTTGCTCATTTGCAAATGGCTTATTGAAATCTCTTAATATTAATATTCAATACACCCTTAGTTCTTGTTTCTAAAATTCTAGAGCTGAACGGAGCATAAGGCCAGGCAATTGAAATAATCCACACTTTCTCTTTCTGATAAATGTGTTCATATGCCCCTCCTTCCCACAGGTAACTGCTCAGGTGTATGAAATCTGCCTTTTAGCCTGGGCTTTTCCCTTATCCACTGGAGAATGTTATCATCTGAAGAATAATCTTCAACACATTCCAGAAATGAGGCCACCATGAACAATTTTGCTGTGCGTCCCTTAGGGCTCAGTAAAGACCAGTTCTCCCCTGCTTACAATATCAATGAATAGCACCCTTCTCTGGTTGTAGCTATTGAGTAAAATCTCATGCAACTGCTCCAGCACTGCCTAAAGTGCAGACCCCCCAAAACCAGAGTTCTGATATGAAACCCATTTATTACAACTGCCTGAATTTGGGGTTGCAAAAAAAAGCAATCAAATCCACAAACACTTACTGCATTTTCCCCTAAGTTCTAACTACAGAAAGTTTCTATTTTTCTCTAAAGCTGTGTAACTAATCTTTTCTTAGATTTTCTTGGCTATTAAAAATATCTCCGCAGCCACATATACAATTTTAATACCTACACATAAACAGTGCTAAAATAAAATATCAACAGCTCCATTCAGGATATTGATGAAGTTCCTAGTTTTCTGTAAGATCAAAGTCCACATAAAATATCCACCTGTGTAAAAATAACCTCTCCCTATCGATGAAGTTCACCAGTTAGAGTCACTGACAATGTCTACATTAGTTCAGATAAGAGCAGAACTCTCGAAATGGGCAGTGTAATATAGGACTGGCCTTGTAGGCTGCAAACATGAAGATCCTACATCATCTTTATTTCTCTTCTTTTGCTAAACAGTTGCTAAAATTTAACCTGCCTGATTAAGGCTCCCCTAGAAGTTTCCATTCTTGTCTTGCTACCTAATCTACTCCTTAGCAGCTTATCAGAGTTCTTAGCTTAATATATCAGCTGCTAAATTTCTCCTAAATTAAAGTTACTACAGTCGGCCTCAAAACAAAAGACCTGGCACAATGCAGAAGGTAAGTCACACGGGAAATGCAGCAGATATCAAAAGCAGGACCTGGGGAACCCCAGAGAGTGGTGGGAAGAGGTGCTCCCCCCAACAGTTGAAGAAAGAAGGAAGGTAATCACATCATGGAGGATTCCCCTTTGATACTCCTCTCAAGGAGTGAAGTAGCTCTCTCAAGTGGATTGCTCCAAAGTAGGACCTACTGTGTGTTTGTTCCCTTCTGCACACAGCTGTTCACCTCTCATTTTTCTTCCCTATTATGACACAACTTAGGGTAGCCCTGGTCTGGAAGCTGATGCCACGCTTTTAGACTCAGGACCAAATAATAATCCTCTTTTCCATATGGAAGAATCATACCTTGTATTTGCCTGCTTTGAAACTCCTTGCATTTAGTGGTTAACACATTCTGATATGAAAATTTCATCCCAGTACATGTGTATTATTCCCAAGTCATGTCTGGGAATGAATATCAGTGTCAATTGCTTTGTTACGTGCTGCTCTTTCCAGCCAAAATGACTTGTTTGGTTCTTACGGTTTTAGGTACTCATTAGCCCTCCGGGAGTCAACTACTAGAGTATCAAGGTACTCCTGTAAAGTGCAATCCTTTGGGTATTTTATATAGCAAAGGAAAGGAGAACAAGATACAGGCATTACAGGTGTTTGGCTCCTGATCACCTAGTAAATTTGAGCTTTCATTAGTATTATTTTTAGTCATTAACTGTTCCTTTCAGTAAACTATTAGACATCAGCGGGACAGTTATCCCAGCTATCCTGCTATATACATACAAACATACATACACACATACGTATACTTTTTCCTTTCCTTCTTTCTTTTTCTCCTTTCCCTCATCCCACTTGTACCTTCCTTTGAGCAATTTCTTTCCCTTTCATAATATCTATTGTATGTTTTGGGTTTTACTCCTTCAGGTTCTTTCTGACTAATTTTGCGTACTTATATCTGGTAATATGAACACCCAACTTGAAGATAGCAATATGCAATGTAACAACCATTTGTGAATTCCTACCATGTCGTCTAGTGAAACTCTGTATCATTTCTAAGGTCTTTTTGCTTTTTTTTTTCTCTTTTTTTTTTTTTTTTTTTTGGTTTTTCTCCGGTACCGGGAACTGAACTCACGACCTTGCGCTTGCCAGGCAGGCGCTTTTGCCGCTGAGCTAAATCCCCAGCCCCACTGTTTTTTTTTTTTTCTCTTAATGGTTTGATCAATCTTGCATTCTTACACCCAGTAATCTGAGCAACTTGCTGAAGATAACAATATGTGATATAACAACCACTGTTAATCCCTATCATTTTGTTCTGAAACCCTGTATCATTTTTATTCTATTTGTTTTGATTTGTTTTTGTCTATGTTGTTGATATTTTGCTGTTGGTCTTTTTTTATTATCCTCTTTAAAATAAATAAATATTTTTAGTCTTTATGATCTAACTCTCAACCTGAATCAGATTTAACTATGTTGTGAGCCCCATGACTTTTGTCCATATAATCCTTCTAGACTTTCCAAAGCCTTTTTCACACTACGGTAAGGGGAATAACTCTCCTTAACAAGTCGATCCAGAACAGCAGTGTGAAGCAACCTGAACAAGACACTAAAACAATTTACCCCTTTACTACTTAATTCAGAAGTTTACTCTAAATACAGTGAGCAGAATATTATTTCTTTTGTGCTTGGAATAGCATATGTTAACACAAATAATGCAAGCCAATATAATTCATAAATTAATGCAATGGAAACAATGTGCATAGTAGTAATTATAATAAATGTTGTAAATGCATAATTGCATGTATGAGTTGAGCACAAGCTGTGGTACTTAGCGAAGCAGAAAGTTTGTTAGGGAAAGCTGCTTGGTGGAAGGAACCTGGGACACTGGGTTTCCACGCAATTGTACCTCACTTCCTGCATGTGTGTGAAATGAACACAATTTTTAAGTAATATTTTGAAAAAAATAGTTTCCTTTTTTTTCTTTCATGTATCCCTTTGCTTTAGTCACAAAAAGAAAAGAACATATGTTTGACAAACTACAATCAATAACTCTATAAATTAACTTCCTTTTTCCTGTAAGGGAATTAGGCATAAGCAAGAATCATGTATTTGGAGTAAGAGAGAGAAATACTATTATAGGAATGACAATTTATTGAAAACAGCTGAGATTGGTGTAAGAAAAGCCTAGTGGCACTGAGAATAAAGTAGGGTAGATTTACTGGGATCTATCCCTCATCTTGATAGGGAAAGTGTATAAATAAGAACCTTGCTTCAGGGTTCATGTGCATTGCCTTTTCTTTTTACAATTTTAGTAAAGTCTGAATAATTTGCATTCACCTAACAGAATATAACTGTTTTATTCATGGAGAAGTAATATTTGAATTTGATCAATATTTCATTTCTTCCTTTTTTATGGGAAGACAGAATGTCTATCAAAAGAAATGTAGGAAGAATCTATAAAAATGTGCACAGTACATACTGGTTCAGAATTTTTAAAATGGGGCAAACATGTCAGTCCTTTTTAATTTAAGCATAAATTCTCTGAGAATAAATTTTGAGTTGAGTGGAACAACTTTTGCACCTCACTGGAGAAATGTTTAAACACCAAGTGGACTCTCACCCCCGCAAGCTGTCTGTGGATATTTGTAACTGATTACATAGAGAATAATATCTCATTCTTGCTCCCTCTGGCCAAAGAACATTTGCAAGATTTTAGCAAAATGTAAGTAGAGCTAACCACCTAATACATAATAGCAAGTAAACTCACACATTACTCTGCATGAGTAAAAGCCACTAATAGAACCAACAAGTTAGTTTGTCTTAAAATAAGCATCTCTTTTGTATTCAATAAATGGGAATACATTTACTATCTTTCTAATTCTATATAATTACAGCAGATGGGGATGTTTTTCCTTAGATTGAGAACTTGGCATTCTCCTTGTTTAATTTGGCTCAAGACACCACATTTATAGGACTGCATTCCAGGCAGTGATTTCCTAAAAGATTCCCTATTGAATTTGAAGGCAATTATGTTAAACATTCCACCCCAAAATTATAATCCTAACCCTAAAAGTTATTCCTTGGGCATAAAACAAAAACATAGAACTTTTACTGCATTTTATGGATCATTGAGCAGAATTCTGTAAATTAATACTCAATGGTAATAACTCACATAGAAATTTAAATATCAACACAACTAGTTTTAACTAAAACCCAAATAACTTTAAGCCTACAATTAAATTGTGTGTGGGTTAAAGTCACTGCTTTTTCCTACATGACTGGCAGGCAAAAGTCCTGCAGGAAATGCTGAAAGAGGACAGAGAAAATTCAGAACATCTCCGACAGTTATCTGCAGTTTGCTCTTTTGCATCGGTCCTGGGTGGTGAAGGGAACTGAGACACACATACAATTAGTGCAAATTACAAAGTCAATATAGAGTTTAGAGGACTCACCAGCGTTCATGGAGAGAGCAGAGCCAGGCAACCTTACAGGAACTTTCTAGACAACCAGGAAGTCTAAAACAAGGCAACGGCTTGCTGTGACACGTTTAGAGTCAATACTTCAAGCTACAAAACGTCTCAAAGCTTGTTCAGTACAACTTAGTATCCAAGAGAAGATGTCGCCATGGGAACTGAGCCAGTGACTTACCAAGTTTGGCTGATATTTGTCACTCTTTCTGAAGAACACGCACACTTGTCGGGAAAACAAAACAGAAATAAGGGCAGGAGAAATTTCGAGAAACAGTAAATGAAAATTGCAGAGTTAGGAGAGATTCAAGGGTTCAACCTGAAATTAGATATGCACAAATTATGCATGAGCTTAGTAAAAGTGGTACTCCACCTCAAGTCAAGGGTGAGAGTGAAAAATCAGGGCTTTTATTTACACTGGCTTACTGTGTATTGTGTGACAGTCTTACATTGGATGAGCTCTGCAAAGAAAATAAGTAAGAGCAAAGGAGGGATAATAAGCAAGATGAAAAAACTAGTAAAACTCAAACGTGTACTAAAAAGGGAAGAACAGTCTTTTGCTCCTAAGTTACCATTTTTTTTTATTGTACATAATACTTTATTTTGTGTGGAACCCCAAAGCTGTGAGCTAGTTCCTGCATGAGCAAAATCACTTGCAAGCTGAGCATAATTTATAAAACTTTGAATAGAAGGTGCGCACAGCTCTTTCTGCAGACTAAAATATGCTCTGATCTCATTAAGAACATTTAAGAAGTAGTTATTCAATATGAAGACATTCAAACCTATAAAATTCTGTACATTTTTTCAAAGTTAAAAAAATGCTAACAGCTGGTAAGGCTCAAAAGCACATCTTCCATTTCTTCTAGGAAATGGCGCTTTGGAACTGCTTTGGAAGATTATTTGGGATCACCTTGCAAATCTAAATATAATCTTAACATATGATCAAGTAATTGATCAAGTGATAGTATTTATATGAGCTTTCCCAACTTATTTGAAAAATTATGTACACACAAAATCTATAGTCCATATAGAAGTTTTATTAAAAATTGTGCATACTAAAAATAGTCAAATCTTTCTTTAGATCAACTGTTACAAATATTTGGTTCTTCCATATAATGGAAGAGTATTCAGTGGTAGAAATAAATGAGCTATCTTTCCACACAGACATCTGTTAAGTGTTTCTTACCAGTGAAGAAAGGCACTATCACAGTTCTATATAGTACTGCATGTTATTAAATTTGTGTAATGTTCACAAACAGACACGGCCATATAGAGAGTAAACTTCTCTTTGTTTTTAGAGTAGGTACTGATTTCTTAGGGACAACATCAAAATATCAGCAGCAAAAGAAAAAAAGCAAGCTAAATTGAACATTACTAAAATCATGTACTCCTGTTTCAACAGACACCATTAAAAATAAAGACACCTCACATAATTGGAGAAAATACTTGGCAAAAATCTAAAAGGGATTTTATATGCACAATAGGTTATAACTCTTATAAATCAGTAATTATAATACAAATAACTATGTTGAAAATAAGAAAAAAAAAAAAAAAAGCAGACATAGCGGTATGCATCTTTGATCCGCACTCTCTAGGATGTTGGAGCAAAGGATTACAAGTTTGAGCCCAGCCTGGGTAACAAGGGAACTTAGTGAAATCCTGTGTCAAAAATTAAAAAAGACCTGGAAATGTATCTGAGTGTGAAAGCTCTGGGTCCAATTCCTAGTACTATATTAAATGATAAAGAATGTAAAACAAAGTATCTTAAAGAGGCACTTCTTGAAAGAAAATAAATATTTGACAGTCAAATGATGAAAAAGTGCCTAACATCATTAAACAATTGGGAAATGCAAAGAGGAAGTGAAGGTTAGATAGAGAGGAATGGGATCATGTTCATCTAAGAACATGTAAGTACAGTGAGGTAGAAAGTCAGCCATGATATATTACCTTCCCAAAGACTGTAAAAACAATGAACATTATATAGTATCACTACAAAATGGTAACTATCTTATAGTGTAACTTAATTTATTGTAAATGTCTTTTGTATTTTATGTTTTTGGCCTAGTAGTCTGATTGTTAATCTGTTTATGATAATTGATTTTATAATGACTTATTACAAGATAAATCAATGCATCTTATGCTGGAAGATAAAAAAGAGGTAAAGAAAACAGGAAATGAAGAGTTGAGATGCTGGGTGTATGCACCAAATCCTTATAATGAGCAGGATGATTATATACTGCAAATATGTATGGATAAAATTAAAATTCAAAGGGTAACTATGTGACATAAAAGCATACATGTTCTATGATTTAAAAATGACTGAAAATTCAAAAAAGTACAATGATGTATATAATTATTTTGAAAATTAAAAAGATAAAGAAGCTTTAGCAAGGATATGGAGAAGTTACAACTCTCTCATAGTATTGATGGCATGTGAAATGATGCTTTCACTGTGGAAAATTGTCTGGCAGCTCCTCAAACTCTTCTTCAGTGAGCACATGACTAAGAAAACCGATTTTCAGAGAAGTGAAGACATATGCCATGCAACATTCTGTACAGGTACTGTATTCCCAACAGAATTATTCAGAGGGACAAAAAGTGAAAACATCCCAAAATGCACATCAACTGATAAATAAGAAAAGGTAGATCCACACAGTATGGTATAATTTGGAAATAAAGAAGAAAATATGTAATGAAATAAGCTGTAATATATATGATCCTCAAGAGCATTACTCTATGTAAAATAAGCCAGAAATAAAGGTCATATATTGTGTGCTTCATGTACATGAAATGTACAAAAATGCCAAACCTATAGAGATGGAAAGTTGACCAACATTGCTTAGGGCCAGTGTAGGTGTGTGGATTTAAGAAAGTGATGGGTGATGGAAATTCACTGGTGATGTGGCAGGTATTTTGCGTGAGTAAAATGATCTAAGATTAGATGATTAGATGATTAGTGACACAAATCAGAATATATACTAAATATCTCTGATCTTCACACTTAAAACTTGAATTACATCTTAGTGATTCTGTCCCTACTAAACGGATTCTCTAATGACTCAGATTAATTTGAAGGCACATCCTCCTCTGAACAATATTATGTGATGACACAAAGATTCACAGATTATGTTGAAAATTACTCAGAGAAATACTAAGCTCTGGTCACAAACCCCATCTAAATAAAAGAAAAAGCTGGTGCTTCTTTCAGATGAGCCAAAATAATTGATCAGCACTGCACCAGTTAGAAGATGAAAAGTGTTTAAGAAAATATCACGGAAACCTCTCCAGCGTGATGTTCAGACATAGAGAAAGTACATGGTTTAAAAAATAATTGCACTGGCACAATATTGTACATTAACAGTATGATTGATCGACTAGTGAAGGTAAGTCATGGTTGACAGTGTGTTGGACATTGGGGAAGTAATTAAAAATCAATGCATCAAAGTTCACGTAGTGGGAAAGGTGTAATTATTTTCCTAACAGGATTCCACCTTTATCCCAGCAAAATATTCTTGAACAGGGACATGGGATATGGACCATGCCAAATCCTTGGAAAAGCAACCCTGGTATCACAGAGGACAGCGAGTCCCATGGCTGAGGACTGTACAGCTTTTGTTCTGAAAACAAAAAATACCTCAGTGAAAACAAAGCAGTGATTTCAGACAAGCAATAGTAACTCTGAGTTCTGGCTCTCTAACTTAATTCCCATATGCATAACAGACCAGATCCTTACGGTAAGATTAACCATGAGGCAGTGCACCTATTGCCATGCTAGCTGCTCTTGAGAAAGAGGAAAATTTTTCATACGATTTAAAGGACTAGCGAGTATGGAGGAATGTAAAGGATGACAGTTAGCAGTTAATTGTTAGGAGGTGGAAGCTATTATGCTCTCATCTGGGTCTTCCAATCTAAGCATTCATATTTGTTTAGTATTAGTAAGGCAGAATTATGCTTATTCTTTAAGCTCTCTAAGCATCTAAAAATGCAAAAACAGTAATTTTACTTTGTTTCTCCATTATAATTTATTTTATATTACTTGATATGTTGTCTCTGCCTTTGAAAAGATGGCAAATTCTTCTCCACTGGCTCCGACAGAAAAAGGGCTCTAAGGAATCCTTGAGTAGTCCAAGAAACATTGACTGACTTCAACTGATGTTCCTTTCAGTTAGCAGAATTGTTTCATTGCTTATTGGCAGTAGTCAATGATAGGGAAAAAGAGACT